CATCTCCCCCTTACTTGGGTTTGTTATTTTTGCAACCGTTTATTTGACTACTATTTAAGTTCTTAACAACTGCCGACTTTCTACTCACTCGATTGTTTTTTGTTTGTTTTGCATTCCATTGTTTCATTACTTCAGACACTCGTAACGACCTCTGCATTGGTGTTACAAAATTCGCATATGAATTTTCCAAATTATTTCGATTGTATCTACAAGCCCGAAAGAATGTTTAACATTGAATATCTCTCTAACAAAAAACCAGTATTTAAAGCACTAATGCTCAAAATAGTACGATAGCGGTAATGGCTAAATGCGTATCTCTTTTTTTTCTCTTTTGGTCAGTAATTTTTGATGATTATCTCTAACTTTCGCTCTTGCACACTTACACTCAATTTAATTCTGTTCATAAAATGCAGAAATTCCGACGTTGACAGCAATTTTTGAACACTATTCACATAATATAACAATTATTTTTTTTATGTTTATACTAGCATATGCCCGCAACTTCGTTAGCGAATGTAGGAAATATATATAAAACATCGACCATAAATTCGAGCTCTAAAGGTTCAACCAAATCCAAAATTTCCATTTAGCACACATTATTTCCATAAGTACCCTGTTCAACCATCCAACAAAACTTCATGCATACCCCGATCCTACACCCCCACAATGATTCCAGATTCAAATTTCAGGAGTCCAATTCTATTGGTTCACCCACAATTTAAATTGTACAAAATTTAGTACACAATAGTATCAATTTACAAAATTTCCTACATACTCCAAATTTAGTACAAATTTCTAAAACTTCCTGCATATTTCAATCTTACACTTTAACAGTGATCCTGACTCCAAATTTAATGCCAATGCCTACACTCCAACGCAGAGATGGCCTGTCAGAAACAGTGACTTAAATGACATACATTTCCGACGTATAATACATACGTCGGAAACCTACCCAAATCCAGTAGGTTTTTTACAAAATAGGTATTTCCATTAATTAATTCGGAAATTACGCATGCTTTACTCAAATCCATACAAAATTTTAAAATATTGTTCTCAAAAAAATTATAAATTGTTATCAGTTCTAGTAAGGAATAGTCAGATATATGTAAAAATAATATATATTCCTGAAAATAACTGTATATGCTGATAATATTGAAATAAATGACGTTTAGTACATTTATTACATTTTATACAGGTATATGACGTTTACACCTTTTTGACAGTCGAAAATCTAAAAATTCGTCAGACGGACCATCCCTGCTCCGACGGTAATGTTACTTTCAATTTTCAGGATTCCAGCTCGATTTGTACCTCCAAATCAAATTAGTACCAAATATAGTACCATGTATTACTTTTCGTACACATGAGTACACGCTTTCCAAACTCTCCTCATATCGACCCTAATTCTCAACCTTAATTTGCATTCCAAATTTCAAGCTTTTAGCTCAATCCATTCACATGCTACGAAGTTGTACCAAATTTAGTACATTTCAGTACTTTTCGGATACTTATAGTTCGAATTGGTTCGCCAAATACAAATGATACCATATTTAGTACTTTGTAGTACGGTTCTAGTAGGAATTCCCAAAAACCCAAACTTATCTATCACCTTTGGACCAAGAGTGACACTCACCTAAATTTTCAAGATTCTAGCTTCAGCCGTTTCGTCTGGGCGTTGATGAATCGTTAAATCAGTCAGTCAGTCAATCACTTTACTCTTTTATTAGTATAGATTAGTACTTTTCGTACCGTTCTAGTACGAATTTCCAAAAACCCAACCTTATCTGTCACCTTTAATTCGTCTGGGCGTTGATGAATCGTTAAATCAGTCAGTCAATCACTTTACTCTTTTATTAGTATACATCCTGAAAATAGAGATTCATCAGCTTCATTTCATTTTAAATTTCCCTTTTAATACGCCCATTCTAAAAAAAAAACATACTCATAAACAATAGCCAAATTTAAGGTGTCTTAATAAATATGACGAACACTGTATGCCTTTACGTTATATATTTAAAACATTATTTAGATTTTGTATGCAAAACACTATTTATTTGCATTTTCGCATATCAACAGACGTACTCCTACCGGAGTACTGCTAAAGGAACGTGATACACGTTACGTTGTGGACATACCGCCAAAAAGGTGTTTTCTTCAACACTCTTTATTTCATAATTCTTTGATTTGAGGTAATAAAACCTCAAATCAAAGAATTATGAAATTTTATGACAAAAGAGAAGAAAAAACATTTAATTCGTGATTCAAGAAGAAAGTCCAGTAAATTGAATTTGAACTTAAATATGGGAAGTATACCATCTCTAAAAATTCACATAATTCAGGTGACCAAACAAATTTAAAAAACGTGTTTTTATTTAAATTTTATTAATATTGAAGATGTTTTTTAAAAGAGTCTATGTTACAAAAATAACAAACGAATAACCGCATTTGTTAAAGGTCACTGACTTTTTGCGTAGGTCAATTGCCTGCTACATTGTTGATGTGAAATGATTTACGAGTATATTAATATTTTGGTACAATAAACATACGGGGGTTGAAATGTGATCGCCAGTTGTCATGTTGTTAGAAGTAAATAATAAATAATACTAAATGTTAATGGTGATGATATTTATCAAGAAACTTAGATCATATTTTATACATATATTTTCATATATGTGGGGTTAATGATAAATGTACACAATGTTCAAAATGAAGTTGTAAGTGATGTATACCAGATGTTATAATTTCGAGTCAAATCATAACACAAAAAAGAGTCCGTCACTACAAGAAAAATCTGCTCTGAAAAGGAATGTTCCGGTGTGATGCCAAATGTCCGAACCTTGACACGGTTGAATTTAATTTGTTGATGCAATTTCGCAACAATAGTCGACATAAATACAATTTATCAAGTAAAGACATTTGTAAGCCGCATTGCCCAATATGCCTGATGAGCCGCATAACCAACGGCGAAACGCGTAGCGTAGTGGCGGGAATGTAGTATCTCTCTGGCTTTCCTTTTCATTGCAACTCCGATCATGTAGCTCATCTCGAAAGAGAAATTAATAATAAACAAGTGAAAAAGCGGTAAGTTCGGCCGGGCCGAACTTTGGATACCCTCCACCATAGTTATATTGACAGGTACTATAAATGATAATATAGGGAACATACCAAAAAGTGGACCTATACCGACATTTCCAAAAACCGATTATGTAAACCATAATAAAAATTTTAGAAATTTTTAAAGGATAATTATACCCTCAGCCTTATGGCTAATGAAGGTGTATACACTTTAACACGATGAAAATGTGCCTCATCGAAATATTGGTTCTAGACCCCATGTTTCTTTGGATCAAATCCGTTTCGGAAAATTTCAGATTTCATCCGAACTTTGCCCATCTTATTATTTCTTCCAAGCTTAGTTCAAATTCGAAAATGGGGAATATCGGTCCACTCTTTCTGGAACCTCCAATCAGGGGCTATATCTAAATGCGGCTATAGTTCATTACCGAACCTTACGTTCTAATTTTTTATCTCTCTATCCTCCGCAGGTGAAATAATTACAAAAAGGTCTTAGAACCAAACTCAAAACGCGCAACAAATCAGATAACTATTTTAATATAAAAAAGGGGGTTATATGGGGACTATCCCAAAAAGGGGGCGAATATTAATAATTTTTGGTAGGGAGATTTGTTACCATATGCGACTACAAAATACCAAATTGCAGCAAATTCGGTTGAAAAACGCGCTCAAGAACCCTAAAATACCGAAAATTGGGGGTACCCTTGTATTGGGGCTATCCGAAAAAATGGACCTATATTCATAATATTTTGTGGAGAGATTTGGAACCTATTAAGAACTCAATGTACCAAATTTCAGCGTATTCGGTTGAAAAACGCGCTCAAGAACCCCAAAATACCGAAAATTGGGGGTACCGTTATATGGGGTCTACCAGAAAAGTGGACCTATATTTATAATTTTTTGTGGAGACATTTAGTATCCAACAAGAACCCAATGTACCAAATTTCAGCGTATTCGTTTGAAAAACGCGTCCAAGAACCTTAAAATACCGAAAATTGCGGGGTACTGTTATATGGGAGCTATGCCTAATCGTGGACCGATATATCCCATCTTCGGACTTGACCTGCCTGCAGACAAAAGACAACCCTATGCAAAATTTCAGCCCCCCTATCTCAATTCCTTCAGAAGATAGCGTGATTACAACAGACGGACGGACATGGCTAGATCGTCTTAGAATTTTACCCTGATCAAGAATATATACTTTATAGGGTCGGAAATGAGTATTTCGATGTGTTACAAACGGAATGACAAAATTAATATACCCTCCATACTATGGTGGAGGGTATAAAACTAAATAATTTACAACATTTTACAATCAGTCTTCAAGAATACGAAATGTCAAATTACAGTCAAATTGTTCAGGAATTCTGCTAAAGACTCTAATATAACGAGAAATGGGGGGGCAATGAGTTTTCTTCCATCCATTAGACACGTCTAACTTGGCAGTTCGACAATTGACAATATTGACTTTTAGTTACAGTTACTAATCTAATTAACTTAAATACTTTTATTTAGATCGTAAAAACAAATTACTTCCGAATTACTTAACCCAAATAATTTAAATGTGATAATTATTCAAATCGATGTCTGAGTCGTGACTTACTTCCCCAAAACAAAACTCTTAACTTCGTTGACAATTACACCACCTACCACAAATTGTTCTGTTATGTAATAAGTGATTGATTGTCTGATTTTGTTTTGTTGTATGTTGTTTTTTTTTTTTTTTTTTTTTTTTTTTTTAATTTGGTTAATTTAAGCACGCATTTCTTGTACTTGCAATTTACTTTAGATATGTGTTATTCGAAATTAAGCTATATAATGTTAAGGGAGATACAAGAAAAATTGCATTCGAAGTTGAGGAGTTCGTACAGTAAACAACCAAACAATCTACATTAAGTTCCACTGAAAATCAAAATAAGGAAATAATGGCGAATTTTGTGAGTTTTGAGAAAAAAATTAAATTATAAAAATTTTAAACTAATATACGTATGACATTTTTAGGTAACACTTTTGATAATCCCCTTGGCCTTGTTTGGTGTGTGCCAAGCTGGTCTGGTTGGCCACCCTGTAGGCTATAGTGTGGGTTATGCACCATCAGCCCACGCTTTTGCTGCACCGCCACCAGTTGGCCAATTTGCTGCCCCATTGCCTGTTGCACCCATTAATGTCAACACCTATTCCACCACCTCTCATCACACCTATTCCACGGCAGCTCCCGCCCCCGTTGTTAAAGTTCACAGTGGTTATACACCCTTTAGGACATATTCTGTCGGTCCTAGTTACACAAAATATGCTACCTCTGGACACATACCAGGACCTTATAGTGGACCATTACCCTATGAATTTTCTGCACCCCATGATGCTTTTAATGGTTGGAGTGGCCCCAGCGTTGGGGTTAATTTTGCCGCACCAGTAGCCGCTGTTGGTAATGGAGGTTGGGATGCCCCCAGAACTGTAGTGAAATTTGGCCGTCCTATAACAACAACGACAACTACTTACGCCACGACTGGGGCAATTGCTGGCCCAGTTGGTGTTGCTGCCCCTGCTGCTCTAGCTCCATCTCAAGTGTATGCGGCAACACCGTTTGCCGGTCCAATTGGGTGGTAATTTTGTTATATAGTATTAAAATGTGTTTTAAATATATTTCTTAAGAATAAAATAATATTAAAATATAAGAAGACTGTTTTTTGTTTTATATAAAAAAAGGTTCGGAGAAGAGAAGCTAAAAAACGAATATTTAATATGGATATGAAGGGTTTCTCTATAGACCAGCAGTGTTTATTAACGGGTTTCATCTCTATAAACGAACTGAAGAGAATATCTATAGATCAGCCGAGGGGAATCTTTGTAAACTAAGGGAAGACGTGCGTCTCTGTAGAAGTTAGACTTTTATAGAGGAGATGATAGACTAAACGAGCTGAAAGTAGTCATTATTAAAGAAAGTCTGTCGGGACGAGGTAGAGACAACCTTTATACAGAAGTCGAACGGTGTCTTTATATACGACTTGAAGGGTGTCTTTGTAGACAAACTGAAGGGAGACTTTACAGACAATCTGAAGGGAGACTTTATGGACGATCAGTCATTTTAGACCAGTTGAAGGATGTCATCAAAGACGAGGTTAAAGGAGTCTTTGTAGTGGAGCTGAAGGGAGTCTTTATAGACGAGCTAAAGATGTCTTTATGGACGAACTGAAGGCAGACTTAATAGACAGTCAGGCAGTCTATAAAGGCGAACTGGAGCGGGGAATCTGTATGGCATACAGTACTGAAGTTGGGAGTCTGTATGGACTAGCTTTAGCATGGAGTAATTAAGCAGGGAGTCTGCATGGACGATCTGATGGAAGTTTTTATAGATAATCTTAAACAGTTTACCTCTACAAACGAGCTGAAAATGGAGTCCTGTTTCAGGCTTTTAGAAGAGCCCTCTTAAGAAACTTAATCTGAGAGTCTACATTGACAAACTGAGACTGGTATTCAGTATGGGCGAACTGAAGCTGGTAGTCTGTATTGATGAGCTTAAATAGAGAATATGTATGAACGAACTGTGTCTTCATAGAAGGCGGTCTTGATAGACGAGCTTAATGAGGTTTTTATGGACGTGGATTTCTCCAGGATTTGGCGCAGAGTGAAAATTTGGTCAATGGTGAATTTGCCAGGTATGAAGCCGCATTGCTATAGTCCATTAATGTCATTGACCATTGGCTTCACACAGTTCGCTGGATAGCACTTTATATGCGAAAAGTGTCCATACCGCTCTGAGTTCTGACACGAGGTAAAAATACGGTATAAAAACCATGGTCGAAAGTTCCACTATTCATCTAAAACCCTATGACATCCCCTACCATTTGCCAATGATTTCTTCTCAATTATTAATGTCATTAGCAGTTCATACTCCCCTGTCAACATGTTAAGCCAACGACAAAATAAAGCTATTCGTGATCACGATTAATAATTATTCATGACCGACCGACGGGTTCATCCGGTCTTCATAGTTGTTTTTCTTCTTCGATTTTTTTCGTACCATCTATAAGACCTGTATGTTTATACATATTTTACAAAATTGTTGGAATACTTGTTGTTTTTGCCTTCATAGGCCTTCTGAACTTGTTTGCATGTTGCTGGTTGATCGCCTCTCTGATCAATTCGCAGAAAAATCAACTCGACTAGACCTGATATTGGCATAGGTTATCATTGAATGGTGGCAGTCGTTTGGACAGAGCTATTAACCGAGCAACTACACAAATGCTCAAATTCAAATTAACTCTTTGGGGTAAGGCGACAACAACAACGAGAAAAAAACCACACAAATTATTGCTTTGTCATGCAAATGCGTGTTGGCAGTTAAACTGCACGATTTGTTATCTCTCTATCTATTCAAGCTAAAACGCGGGAACACAGCAAAACCATAATTGAGTGGTATATGACAAGCTTTTAATATAGTTTAAATGTTTTGCCATGGTCGTAAGTTTATTTATTTGTTAGTTTGTCAGAGTTACTGACCATTCATGCACTGCAATAAATATTTTTGTTGGTGTTGCCAGGAAGTGGCAGTTATTACACACAACGCCGTTTTAATAAGCACTCTATTAAACATTAGTATATCTCAACATACTAATTTGCTGTTATTTCTATTAACCTAGTTTTATTAAAACAGCAAAATATAAATAATTGCAAATATATTAATTTTTTTAATGATATTAAGTTATTGACAAGTTTAGGGAATAACAAAAATATGTTTGATTATATTCGGAAATGACATATTATTTAATGTTCCATAAAAAACTGCGTACCATGAAGGAACCACAATACAAATATCGGCTCAGATATCAGTCTCTTTGGGGTTTTTATAAGATATAAGGCAATGTAGAGGTTATGTTGAAATCCTTACCTATATCTTTTATTACAAGTAATAGTTCTGGAACATGGTACTATTCTACAGATATTATAGGTATACTACCATATGCCCGCAACTTCGTTAGCGAATGTAGGAAATAATTAATAATGTATTAACATATTATTTTATTTTTAGATAAAACTGCATATGTCTGAAAAATCAATCCACACATTACTATCGACCATAAATTAAATTTGAGTACCATTTAGTATCAAATTTCATTATTCGAGCTCTAAAGGTTCACACAAATTCAAATTTTAACAAATTTTCCATTTAGCACACATTATTTCCATAAGTACAATGATTCCAAATTCAAATTTCAGGATTCCAACTCTATTAATTCACTCACAATTAAAATTGTACCGAATTTAGTAGTAGAATTTCCAAAACTTACTACTTAACCCAAACCTACACCCCGACAGTGATTTGAAATTCAGTTTCAGGATTCCAACTCCATAGGTTCACCCACAATTCAAATTGTACCAAATTTAGTACACAGTAGTATGAATTTCCAAATTTTCCTACAGAACCCAAACCAACACCCCACAGTGATCCTAAATCTAAGTTTCAGGATTCAAACTCTACCGGTTCACCCACAATTAAAATTTTACCAAATTTGGTACACATTTGTTCAAATTTCCAAAACTTCCTACATACCCCAATCATACACACCCTAAATCCATGTTTCAGGATTCATACTCTATCGGTTCACCCACAATACAAATTGTACCAAATTTAGTACACAGTAGTATGTATTTAAAAAACTTCCAACTTAACCCAAACCAACACCCCCATTGTGATTCTAAATCCATTTTTCGGGATTAAAACTCTATCAGTTCACTCACAATTCAAATTGTACCAAATTTAGTACACAGTAGCACCAATTTCCATATCAGTTAAATCATGTTTCCCACAATTTAAATTGTACCAAATTTAGTACACTTAGTACAAATTTCTAAAACATACTACATACCCCAACCCTACACCCCCACAGTGATCCCAAATCCAAGTTTCAGGATTCCAACTCTATCGGTTCACTCACAATTCAAATTGTACCAAATTTGGTACACATTAGTACAAATTGCTAAAACTTCCTACATATCTCAATCTTACACCTCAACAGTGATCCTGGCTCCAAACTTCATGACTCTAGCTCTATTGGTTCACCTAAAATTCACGCGCTTTTCCGATACTTATAGTTCGAATTTCCATCTATTCTACACTCCATCAGTGACCCTCAGTCCAAATTTCAGATTTCTAGCTCTACTGGTTCGCCAAATACAAATGATACCATATTTAGTACTTTTTAGTACGGTTCTAGTACGAATTTCCAAAAACCCAGCCTTATCTGTTACCTTTGGACCAAGAGTGGCACTCACCCAAAATTTCAAGATTCTAGCTTCAGCCGTTTCGTCTGGGCGTTGATGAATTGTCAAATCAGTCAGTCAATCACTTTACTCTTTTATTAGTATAGATTAAATTTGTACCAAATATAGTACCATATAGTACTTTTCGTACACATGAGTATACGCTTTCCAAACTCTCCTCATATCGACCATAATTCTCAACCTTAATTTGCATTCCCCATTTCAAGTTTTTAGCTCAATCCAATCACAAGCTTGAGAATTGTACCAAATTTAGTACATTTTCGTACTTTTCGGATAGTTATAGTTCGAATTTCCAAAAACTCTTTGGTATATCTATCCTAAATCAGTCAGTCAGTCAATCACTTTACTCTTTTCTTAGTATAGATTAATACCTTTTAGTACTTTTCATGCCGTTATAGTACGAATTTCCAAAAACCCAGCCTTATCTGTCACATTTGGACAAAGAGTGACCCTCACCCAAAATTTCAAGATCCACGCCTTTCGTCTGAGAATTGATGAATCGTTAAATCAGTCAGTCAGTACTCTATTTATCTATACTAATAAAAGAGTAAAGTGACTGACTACTCCTTTATTAGTATAGATAAATAGAGAACTTGAACAATGTTCGATACATTAGTAGACTCACAAAATTATATTAGATCTTCAGTAATCTCAAATGAGGAATTTTTAGTAGAACATGTCATCCGCCTAAATCGATTCCTTGTGTGTCCTATTCTTCCTTTATTTATTGAACCGGACTACAATTATTACAAAATGTTGTCCATAATATTTTGGGTGGGATTCTCAATTTTACCCATGTCATGCTACAACAACTCTATGTGTCAAAAAATTCAGTATAAATTCTTTATTATGAAGAACTGTAGGATTCTTCAGTGTTACAAGTCATTTATTTTATAATCAAATTTTTGTTTTAAAACAGCTAATTAGCAAACCCATCCCTAAATCTTATTGTATTCTTATTCCGCAGTAAAAATCAATTACCTAATAACAACGCAATAAATCAAATATTAATATATTGAGATTTTTGTCTCACACTTTCCCTTAAAAACAAAATTAATTATTTGTTATTTGTGTGTGTGTGTGGTTTCCTTTTCATTGTCTTCAAAACCACACTTCCTCTTATTAGTCGCATAATAACAGTTACGCACTTTATTTCCTAATTATATATATATATATATATATATCTCAATAATATTTGTTATTCATTAAATTTTACGCATAAATGTTTTTGATTTGTTTACGTTACGTGGGACATAAAACGCAAAATGCCATGGTCAATGCCAATGAAAGTACTCCAACTCTTAACGCTATGTCCTTGAGT